TTTTTGAAAATTTGTGATTTTTTTGTTTAATCCATGATCGAATTTTTTTTTGTAATCGATGATAGAATTTTTTGAAAATTTGTGATTTCTTTTTTAATCCATGATCGATTTTTTGAAAATTTGTTTTTTTTTTTTTTAATCCATATTATTCAAAGAGAAAACGAGAGAGATGATGATTTTGAGGCCACCCTATCCCAGCCATATTATTCACATATCGAGTCCCAACAGCAACAGTGTAGGGATGAGCACGAAATACTGTAAATTAAATGCTGAATGGCGGTTCATGCAGGGAAAGAACATATTAATATTCGCATATTCATTAAAAAACGTGAAAATTCTTAATGGAGTACCCTCATTTTTTATTGAATTCCTAAAAACCAATATTTATAATGAATTTTAATAATTTTTTCGGATTTTTTTGAAGCTTTATTCTGACCGATTCACCCGATTCCGATCCGGATCGCCGATTCGCCGATCCGAATCGGTTTTTGAAAAGCCCTATCCGGGTCACCGATCCGGTTTTTAAACCATTGGGCTAGCCTATGTAGCATTAAGGATGTTTTAAGCTAAGAGCTTGTTTGGAAGGTGTGATTGAGGCACCTCGTACATGATGGGATAAAAACTTGTATCCAAAGTCACACCACTCTTCCTGCAAGTGGGTTTCATGTATAACATTCCCAATATAATTTTTTTGAGAACAAAGACAACGTATACTAGGAATGTTATACATGAAACCGATAAAGCACTACTTGTTGAATGTCGAATAATGCGAGAGTTTATAAATCAAGCTTCATTTAGTCGGCTTGGGCTTGAGATTCAGGCCTTGGTTGAGGCGAGTAACTCGGGTGAGTCTTATGGACTCATCCAAATAGTGTACAAGCTCAAAAACAAGACTGAACCTCCATTAAATCAATTCCAACATGCCTAATCCCTCATGCAGATTATGACCACAAGCCCTGCAATAAAATTGTCAAAGGGGCATACTACGTAGGGGTGACGACGGGTTTGGGTCCATGTCAAATTGGGTCCAGCTAGACCCGAACTCAAACCCAAATAGTATTCAGGTCCAAGTTTTGGACTTGAACCTGATGAGAGTTGGACTGTTGGACCCATACCCATACCCATCAGGTCTCGAGTCAATCTCGTCTGGTCCCGGGACTGATTGCATGCGTTGCCACCCTCACTATGAGCTTCGTTTTGTTTTTTTTTTTTGTCCTTTTTTTTTCATCATATACCCATATTATTGACAACAAGGTGACAATCACCCACCATTAGATTTCATGTTATTTGATTTGTCGTTTAATATCTAAAGAAAACTACGAGTTGTTATTGTATAAAATCCTTGATATACCTAAACAAATAGGGCTTGAAGTATTTTACCTCCAATAGTTTATAGGTGCAGATCGGATCTAACAGGATCCAGACTCGACTCACCGGGTCCAAATGTTGGACCCATACCCAGACTTGTGTCGGGTATACCCGACGGGTCCTGGGTTGGGTCCAGGTCCATTGCCACCCGTAATACCACGACATTGTCAATTATTCAAATTTTGTCTAAAAATTATCGATGTGGTTTAGGAATGAGAGAGAGAGAAAGAGAACCCTACAACTTCTGACTAATTTCCCTAAGAATTTTGAGTGAATGAGAATACTGAAACCACTTCAATGTGAATGGAAAGATGACGATGCTTCAATGGGAATTCACACAGTAAAAGTGGTTTCTTTGCACCGCTTTGGGTTTTCTTTGCCTCAGCCGATTGACTCGTACGAGTGAGGCCGAGTTTTTCTAAGTTATATGTACAATTCAGGGAAATTAAAAAAATAAAAGAATTCCAAAAAAATATAAATATGTTGACTGATCTATCTTTTGTCTGTATAATTTGTATATTTTTGACAAAGATTGATGAGCGTTTTTTTTGGCATAAATCTATAGTTTTATAAAATGTTTGAAAAATAGCCGATCCAGATTGAAATCACCCGATCCAGATAGTATATCGTCCAAAGCGATTTGGATCCACAAGAACTAGGTTTTTTACATTATTTTAATATATATATATTTTTTTTATATAAATTCCTTACACCACCACCACCATTTACATTATTTTATTTAAAACTTCTTCCACGTATTAGCAAGCAACTTTAAATAAAAGGTTAAGAGATAGACTATTATATGGCTATTTCAGTCTTTACTAGTTGGATGTGGGACTATTCGTGCTTGGTTTTCAAGTGTGATGGAAGACTTATTTGGACCTCATCTATAAGGGTGTGGTTTCCATAAGGTTGCAAGTTGCAACCTTAAACAATCCATTTAAGGTGCATCTCCAAATTTCATTGCAGCATATACTTTTGATGTAAAAATATTATTAAGATTATCTCAAAATCTATTTTCATTTCTAATTATAAAATTTTAAACTAAAAAAATAATTAAAATCAAGTAGATCTATAAACATATGGAAATCTTGAAAATGGATAGTCTATATAATGTGTTATAAGATGCATCACTTTTGGGACTCAAAATCCTTTCTTTTTCATAGTCATACATCTCGATCTTGAGACGATCAATTAGAGGGTTTTTCAATATTAAAACAACATTTTTCGATAGTTTTTTGAGGTGCATCCATAGTTAGTTTTTTGAGGTGCATCCGTAGTTTTACATTTTAAGGTTGTAACCTTATATAAACTTTTTCCTTTTTTGGTATAAAAGCTTAGTTGGACTAAGGCAACTAATTTCTTTTAGAAATTAAAAAAAACATTAATAATCAATTTTAATAATTTTTGAGATTTTTTTTAAGGCTTAGATCAACCGATTTAGCCGAATCCCAATCCGGATCGCCGATTCACTGATCCGGATGGGTTGTTGAGGGCCCGATCCAGGGCACCGATCCATTTTTTAAACCACTTTTATATTTTACCTTTGTTGGGTTTTTTAAATTGTCCCCAATTATAAATCTATTTTTTTTAATCTATTTTTCCAGTACTTTTTTAAATTTATTTGGGCTCCTTAAGGTTTTTATTTTATTTTATTTTGGGTTTAAAATATTTTCCTTTTTTGAACTTCGGTTTTTTTTCAATTTATTGAAGGATTTTCAGCCCTTTCCATGAGGACTCAGTCAAGTTACCCGAACAGTGGAGTACCTAGGCCGAGTCAATTTTCTGTAAATTGTTTGGCTCCAAGGATGGAATTATTGATACATACATTTATTTATTTACATTGATTTATTGCGTAAAATGTAGGGTGTGGAGGAGCATGGAAAGGTTCATAGGAAGATCATCAAAATTGGGCCATGGGGAGGCCAAGGGGGCTCACCTTGGGATGATGGTTCCTTTGATGGTGTGAGTCAGATAACGCTTGTGTATGACCGTTGCATAGACTCAATACGTGTGGAGTATGATAAGAATGGGAAATTGGTGATGGCAGAGAAGCATGGTGGTGATGGAGGAAATCATACGGCCCATGTAAGCCTATTCATTGATCCCCCTCCATTTCTCTAAGTTTTCATGCATATAGTAAAACTGAACAAGATGTCATTTTCCTTTATATTTTTGGTAATTAATAGAAACATAAATTTACATTGGGATCGGGAAAAAGATGTGGTGTTACCGCATGATCCAAATTTTGGCCCATGTTATGAATAGTTCTTACTTTTCTGCTCAAATTCTCATAATTATGGGCATCTGCATGATCCTTCAGATTTGATAGATCAAATTTGCTAAATAAAAATAGGACCATTGAAGATGTCATTATTGAACTATGTCATTATTGAACTAGGTCGGTAACATGCATGAACATTCAAATTTGTATTTTTTGATAAATAAAATACTCGTTTATGTGTATGTCTCAATGTAGGTATGTATGTATGTATGTGTGTGTATGTATACACACATCATTGAAATATTAGTATAAATATTGGGAGTAACTTTGATCAACTCATGAACCGATGGAATGGTTTTGATGGTTTCAGCCGAAAGACCCAAATTGAATGAATCTAGACCGATTTGATTGCCATAATGTTGGCATACTACTTATTTTTTAAGTTTTATAAATCAAATGGACCTGAAGCTTTGGGGCACATGTGCTCAACCTAGGTGCACTATACAAAATAAGCATAGTAACTATACACCGCTACCAACCATGAAGATTGAATCTGAATCATTAGGCTAAAGCTATACATTACAGGCTAGCAAAATCTTTTTCCATATACAAATTCTGCTTCTATACACATTGTTTCATTCTTGTAATGCAAATGCCGAGAAGTAGCTTCAACCAAGAAGAATTGCATCTCAAATCAAACTCTTTACCACACTGCAGATAAAGCTTCAATATCCAGAAGAGTTCATCACAGAAGTGAGTGGCCACTATTGTCCGGTGGTGCACGGTGGCACCCCAGTAATCCGGTCTCTGAAATTCATTACCAGCAAGAGGACTTACGGCCCCTACGGAGTGGAAGAGGGCACTCCATTCTCATTTCTCATGGATGGGGGCCTCATAGTTGGATTCAAGGGCAGGAACGGGTGGTATCTCGATGCGATCGAATTTCGACTCTCACGCCTATCTTCCTCTTCTAACTTGTTTGATGCCATACAACAAAAAATTAAGAAGATCTGGGCCTCACACAAAAGGCTCAAAAAGGCAAGTGTTGCATAGGTTCTTCTTAGGAATGCTCTATGTGTGTCTTTTTCATTTGACAATATGCAGAACTGTTATTGATATATTCAGTGTGTGTCTCCATCTTGCAATGTATCTGATACTGAGTTGTTTTAGTAAAGTTTAGCAGCATATTGATATGGTTGTTTGTTCAGTAGTCAGGGAATCGATTCTGAATCACCTCGACTGATTCAGGGTGATTCCCATTTCGTACCGGATGTAATATAAGATAAAAAAACTTCCTAAAGATGGGGGAATGCAGCGATTTTGAGATTTCTCATAACTGGATCGCCCACCCACAAGTTCTTGCAAAAAGGGGAAAATTCTGGTTCAAACTAAGCAATTTTTTTATCTTTTTGATCCTGGTGGTAACAAAGTGCGCAACATTTACTCCTGTGCCATTTTTGTTTTATGGAAGACACGAATTTGAAAACCACGCCTTCCAACGAAATGAATACCACAAGTTCCATTACAGAATGTTAAAGTGAATGCAAGTGGACATTGAGGTATCCACTTTTATTAGTGTAGCACTTATTGTAATCAAACAAAGAAGTGCTACAGTTCCAAAAGACGTTTTTTCCAAAGCCACGACTTCCAAAAATCAAACACGCCCTTAATGTCCCTTACCTGCTAGGAAAAATAATCACCAAGAAATTCTCTACTTCCTATGACCATTGAGGAAGATGGTGGGAAATTTTCGCATCCAATGTATAGTTTCATTACAAACATACCATAAAAACCCTTGTTTAAAAGTTAAAATCAATGGTCTATAATTAGTAACTTTAATTTTTTATTTTATATTTATTGTTTATATATTCATGATCTCTATGTTAGAGATTGTATATTTCTTTAAAAATTAGGTCCAAAATCAATTTCAAAAATGAATATTTGAGAGGGTACTCTTTTATACAAATGAGTCTAGGACTCATAGAAAATGTGTCCTTTTGAAAATTAAACTCAGTGGAAGGGGATCCACGAAAAGTTTAGGGCAGAGTTATGGTACATGTACTGATTAAAGAACTGAAATTTGCTAGTCCTGAGTTGGTCCTGAGGATTCAGGCAGTTTTGGACCGCTCTTCATTTTTTACAGAAAAGGAAGAACTTTAGTCTTTTGGATGATTTGGGGAAAGTTTTTAGATATATCTTTGAAGCTAAAGAAAAGATTTATAACATACTACTTATGTAAAACGTTTTAATATAAAGGCATATCTTATAAAATTATGAATATTATGAGTTATATATTTTTAAATTTTATATATTTTATGGCTGCTTTTATGCATACAGGGGGTGCTTTTTGAAAATTTCATTGTCACATCCATTCCATTTTAATGAGTTCGCTTCAATGTTGTTTTGGGCCTGAAACATAAGAGTTTGCCCAGTTTTGGGGGAAGAAGTTGGCTTATTCGGGTATGGGAATTGGACCCGAACACTATTTGGGTCCGGGTTCAGGTCCCACATTTTTCAATTTATGAAAATATATTAAAATATATTTAAATGCATAGATATTTTAATTTTGGGTTGGGTCCGGATCTAGGGCCCACATTATATTTCCAGATTTTGGTTTGGGTTTGGTGACTTCAAGTCTAGTCTAGGTCTAGCCGGACCCCGACTCGACCTGACCCAACCCATTGCCACTCCTAATTGTTGGATTGCTGGAGGACCATTGAGGAATACCCATCAATGATATAGACCATGCCAATGCCTGTTCATCAACTCAAAGACTCCAAAGGGCTCTCAAGATGATCATAAACAAAATGATTTTGTTGACTGAGAGGAGGAAGGATATTGTAATGTGGCCTCTCTGACCAGAAACACAATATAAAGCTGCATATTAGAAGAGAATTGCTAGCCACTGACAATGTTAATTATTTTTATTTTACTTTTTATTAAACTAAAAATACTCAGTACAGAAGAAGAGAAAGCATACTGGTACTTACTTGTTCCTCTTGAAGGCTTTAGGAACCAAGCTATATCGAAAATATTCAATATAAAGTAAATAGACCTAAACCAAACAAAAATACCAATTCAAGTTAAGATAAAGCAATACGTGTCAGATATATTTGATCAGATCGTCTTGTAAGCAGATAAAAGGAACCCAGCCTATATATTATCGAATACCAAAAGCTAAATCAAAAAAAAAATCTTAGTTCAAGTTAATATGAAGCAGTACATGCCTGATATATTTGATCAGATCGTCTGATAAGCAGATAAAAAGAACCAAGCTCACATATTATCTAATACCAAAAGTCAAATCCATCTCAATAGAAACCAAATATTTTCACATAAGATATAAATATATTCAACTCTAACGACACATAACACCACCATATCCGTACCTATATAGAAAAATACAGAATAAACATGCACTAATATATTTGATCTTAGAATAACCAACATTAAGAACAAAATAAAATAACAAAAGATAACCAAAGAGAACTAACCTATTCTAATGCTCCAAAGTCACATATATAGAGAGGAGATGATATAAATAAGAGGGAGAGAGTGGGTGAGAGATTTTAGGAAGGAGATAGATTTTAGGAAAGAGGGAGAGAGATATAGAGAGAGTTTGTTAGAGATGGAAAGACTTCCAAATTTTGTGAGAGATTTAAGGAAAGAGATGATAAAGAGAGAGAGGAGATGAGAGAGATAGTGTTGAGAGAGGGATGTGTGAGAGAGAAAGAGTGAGAGATTGGAGAGAGAGTAACTAAGAAGGAAACTTTCTATCTCCCTCTCTAACATACCTCTCCTCTCTCTCTTTAACTTTATAACTCACCATCTCTCTTTCTTATAGATAAAAAAAATATTCAAAACTCTCAAAATGATAGGCCCTCTCCTCTCTACAACTTTCTATCTCGTTATCTCTTTATGAGAAATGAATAGATCAAGAAAGAATTCTCAAAAAATCTATCAACATGATAAGTCATCTAATGTTTTTTATATTGCCCGTAAAATAATGGTACATGATTGAGAGAGAATGTGGACAGAGGGACATGAGAGCGAGTTAAAAAGATACAGAACGATAAATATAAATTATAACCTTCACCTTTTTTTGACAAATATTATGAGCTTATATTAAAACAATGCTTCAAGAGCATGAGATTACAAAGATTGGATCAAATCGTTAGAAACTTATAAAAATAAAAGAGAAACACCATGTTTAGCTAGCCCATCAGCAACATCATTGGCTTCACGCATGGTATAGCCGAAGCTTATTCTCAAATTAGGCCAGGCACAAATGTCTTGAATTTTTAACCAAAGAATAAATAGGGCCCATGAGATCCTTTGCTCTTTTCTACACCACTTGATAATATTTAAGAAATCCCCTTCGATTACAATATCACCAATGAAACCCCTGTCGATGATAATATGAAGGCTTTGAAGGAGAGTAGCATGTTCAACATGATTGGCTATTGTAGACCCATAAGGACTCGAATAAGAAACAAGAACCAATCCCAAATTATTGCGAAGAAGCCCACCAACACCTGCAGGCCTTGGATTTTCAAATGAGCTGCTATCAAAATTAAATTTGAGACAAGCTTCTAAAGGTGCAATCCAAGTTTTAAGAGGACGGCTAGAGTGAGAAGAGGAATAAGCCAAAAATTTCATATTTATATAAATATCAGTCTGAAGAGCACCCCGTCCTTTAGGTGTGGAGGAAAACCAATTCCAAAGATATTGTAAAATAAGATCTTTTACCCTTTCAATAGCCTGAAGTACCCCATCAAAGGTTTTCCTATTACGTTCTAACCAAATATGCCATAAGATTGCACTTCTGAAAATTTTCCAAATCAAAACTCTTTTTATTGATAATCCAATGGCAGAAAGGTGGTTAATAATGTTGATGAGATTCAAATGTATCATGATGAAAAAACCCAATAAGGAGAAGGCCCAGAGCCATAAGCTAGAGGCAAAAGGAGAGTGAAGGAAAATGTGAGAACATGATTCGTCATCATTTTTGTACATCAAGTAAATATTTGGAAGAATTTTACCCCTCTTTTGCAAATTGTCTACTGTTAAACATTTCCTTTGACATGCGACCCATAGGAAGGCTTGGATTTTAACTGGAACTGACCTTTTCCAAATAGAACCTAAAGATGTATCAACCATATGGAATCGATCTATAAAAAGGAGCCTATACACTGATTTGACAGAAAAAAATCCGCCAATTTCTAATTCCCATATGACCAAGTCTTCGGAATTAGAAGAGATGTAAACTTGTTCAAGCTGTTGGAGGAGATTATAAAGCTGCGAAATAACCATATCCAGTAGCCTGTTGTAGTAGCATCCAATGTTCCAGACCATACAATTAAAGGGGGAAAGAAAAATCAACTCTGAAAGTTTTGCATCAGGTTGAGCAACTCTGGCAAAGAGGTCAGGATAAGTAGAAAAGAGAGATGCATTACCAAGCCATTTGTTGAACCAAAAGATAGTGTTATCTCCATTGCCAATAAGTCATTGGATGTTGTTGAAAACAATATTCTGCAACTATAAATATCCTTCCAAATTTGTGAGATGAATTTGCCTCCTCTACCGTTTTTAATCGAGTGGGTGAGATGATCGAAACCATATTTAGCAATTAGTACATCCTTCCAGAGATGAGAAGTGTCTTGAAAGATTCTCCACCACCATTTGCAAAGAAGCACCTAGTTTACAAGTTTAAGCTTTCTGATACCCAAACCCCCTAGCTTTGGTGGCATACAAACCTGGTCCCAATTCACGAAATGAAACTTTCAGTAGTTATCCTCCATATTACCTCAAATGAGTGGCATATATTTTACAATAAGCTTGATTACTTCACTAAGTATTTGTAGGACTGACATCAAATAAATAGGAAGATGTGTATAAGTGGATTTAACCAAAGTGATACTCCCACCAAGAGATAAAGTCTTAGTCTTCTATATGTCAAATTTAGCTTGATACCTATGAATAAGAGGATCTTAGGTTGCACGAGTGAGCTTACGATCAGAGATAAAAACCCCTAAATATATGAGGGGAAACTTCTCAACTCTGTAATCCAAAATTGAAACAAGAGAATCCAAAAGGCTGTTAGAGCAAGAGATGCCTACAATTGAAGTCTTATGAAAATTTACTTTGAGGCCCAAAGCTAGCTGGCAACATATGAAGAATGAGCTCAAA